TTTGTCAGCATAGCGTTGCACCTCTTCAGCTTTCTTCTCCCACCACTGGTTGTGCATTTTGCGGATTTCTCGCTGGGCCTGGAGGAACATAAACCTGTCTGTCTTAGAGATGGAGCCTGGGTCATTCTGCCACTACATAAATGCTTTGTTCTTCTTGGCAAACAGGTCCTCAAGAGCACTGTTATTCTCATCAAACCATTCTTGATGATTGCGTTTCTTGGGACCAAGCACTGACTTCATCAAGGCTTCACTGGAACTTGCACAGATGAGAGAGCTGCTGGAGTCTAGCAATGTTAAAGGCTGTTCAGATGAGCTTTGGGTGATGCTGAGCAAAGTGTATTTTGAAAATGGTGCGGACAAGCCTATGGTCAGTCCAGCACTCTGCTCCTCACGTGGCTCTGGTGATAAGGTCATCCCGACTATCACGCTGATGAACAATGACATAATCTATCATGTGTCATTGTTACGATCTAGGGTGCATCCAGGTAGTCTTGTATTTGTTTGCCATCCTGAATACTGTGTTCATGATGAGGAGGTCCTGTTCTGCATGTTTGCTCAGCAGCAATAGGCTGTTGCTGTTCATCTTGCCAATGCCATGTTTTCATAACACTCCCTCCCATCAACTGTGGTTGCAGCCAACTTGGGCATTGAAGTCTCCCCACAAGATCAACTTGTCATTGGCCGGCACTGAGCACAGAATGGAACTGAGGTTGATGTAGAACTGCTCAATTGTCTCCTCTGTGCTGTTCATGGTGGGAGCATATGAACTGATGACTATTGCATACTGCTTGTGACTGAGGGGTAGGCGTAGCTTCATGGGCCTCTCGCTAATACCGACAGGCAGGTCCAAAAGTTGTTTCATCAGACTAGTCCTGACAGCCAGGCCGACTCCATGGATCCTATCCTCATTCTGCACTTTCCCTTTCCAGAAGAAGGTATAACCACTAGCTAGTTCAGTGAGAAATCCTTCTTCAGCGAGCCTGGTTTCACACAAGGCAGACATATCAATACCATAGTGTAAAAGCTCTTTAGTGACTAGGGCTGTTCTCCAATGAGATCTTACTGTGTCCTCACTGTCCATGAGCGTACGAACGTTCCATACTCCCATTACCAACTTCTTTTTTTTGCACAACGTAACCTGTGTGTGAAGAATACTATAGTGGGAAAGCCTTTGCACAGAGACAGTCCCACTCTCTCAGCCTCAGAAGTCGGAATCCAGTGGCATGAAAAATCGTTACTTCTGGAAACTACCTTGGCTGCAGTGGATGGCCATGTCACCTTAAATGCTTTGACTTGCCCCATGCACTCCATAGTGCGCTGCTGCAATGCCTTCTCACCTGTTGAATCATAAAGATTTTCTCCTGATTTCAGCCTGATTTCCTCCTGATTTCAGCCTGATCCATCAAAGCAGTCTTTGCATGCTGCGATGAGCAAGTCCCTAACTCACTGAGGGTTTCAGACCCATCGGCTACCCTCACTTGGTTTAGCCAGCCTGTCAAAGCCATTGCCTGGGGTGTGGCCGTTACCGCATGCAAAGCAACTACGTGGAGCCACAGGTGGGAGCTGAGTGCCGGTAAAGATCAATAAAGAATGGGCCACTCCCGAAGAAGTGCAACAAGCCCTCCTTTAGAGGTACTACACCATTAGAGGTACTTCCATGTAACCCCATACACCCCTACTTTTGCTATTTTATATATCTTGGATTCTGTTATTTCCACTCCAACTCATCTGAAGTGGGTCAAGACACTTATCCAGAAAAGTTCATGATCCTATGTGTTTTTGTTAGTCTCTAAGAACCCATCTACATAGCAGTGCAAATGTCACATTAAGCTACACAACATCAACATCAATTGCATAGCTTAAGTCAAACGTCACATTAAGCTACACAACATCAATTGCATAGCTTAAGTCAAAATAGCGTATTTTGGCTTTTTGGCTCTGACTACACAGCAGGAAGTCAAAGGAAGAACACTCTTCCTTTGAGATCCCTTGCTCCTCGTAAAATGAGGGTTACAGGAGTCGGAGTAAGAAATCCTCCAGCTTGACATTATTTTGACAATAATAGTTTGCAGTGTAGACATGCTCTTTGTTATTTTGGAATAAAGTCGGTTATTCCGAAATAATGTTGCTGTGTAGACATGGTCTAAGGTGCCACAGGACTACTCGCAGTTTTTAAAATTACAGACTAACGCTGCTACCTCTCTGAGATAGCTCTGTCATTCTTGGGTAATGGAAAATGTTAGTTGTGTTCTGTTTTTCACTCCTGCTTTTTGCTCCTGGTGGTGGGGAATTGCTGGAAAATGCTTTTAAAATACAGAAGAGCAAAGAAAATAACTAGAAGGCACAACAGTTTGAGAGAAACTCAGGAACATCTGGTATTTCTTCATGCTGCAAAGACTGGCTTGAGAATGCACCCAGGGGCTCTCACCTGTCCAGATAAGTAATTTGTCTTATTTGGAGGCAGGGAGGAAATTGTTTCCTTTTCTTGGGCAGATGAAAACATCAGGCTCACACCACAGAAAGCCACTTTCATGCTGAAACACAATAGTTTTATAGACCTTGAGATACTTTATTGTATTTGCTCCCACCTATTCACCTCCAGTAGTATGCAATTCCACTAGGTCTGTGGCCTAGCAGATGGTCCTAACTAATGAAAAAAGCCCTTTTAATTAGTCCGTCTGAAGACATTTATTCACATTGGTGGGCACTCCCAATAAAGTTTCAGTGACAAGGATCAGTGTTGCTGGCTTCCAACAGTTGCCATCTGCTAGGTGGCAGAAACTGGCTATGGGATCACTGTTTGTATTTCCCACTTCACTGAGCTGGAAACAGGTTTAAGGCTTGGGGAAGAGAGGGAAAAAGTCTCCCGATTACTGCCTACAGCAATTTGAAAGCTGTGCTATCTGCTTCCAGAACTAGGATTACAACCGTTTATCCTGCTATCTCTAACAACAGTTTCAGAAAGCGGCTTTAGAAACCATGCTAATTTCCCTGGCAGCAGATTTGTAATATTTGAGAATATCTTCAGTTTATTTACTAGGGCTCTTAGACTATCACTCTGCTTCTTAATCTGAACATTTAAAAAAAATCTCTACTTTACTTTTAATGACCGCTATACAATAATCTAAAAGGATTAGCAATTCAGCACATCCTCCTATTGAGGCCAGTCCTAGGAGCCTAGGAGTTTGCATACTAAAGGAGATTGGCTGCATATTAAATGGTGCCACTTAAGAGTGACCTTGAATAAAACTGGGAAGCAGCATGGAATAATAGAGGATTTGCATGACTTTCTGCTCTCCTATGATCCCTCCTTTTATTTGCTGTGAATTAAGGAAGGTGTCCATTGTGTATTGGCAAATTTAATGTAAGAAAATAATGCTGTCCATTTAAAAAAAATGAGAAATCTTATACATTGCAAGGTGAGAAGGGAACATTACTATATAGTCTATTCACCTATATAATACAAGGCATAGAACTTCCCCCAATAATTCCTTTTGAACTAGAGCATATTTTTTTAAAATGTGGTCTAGTGGTGAAAGCAGGATACTAGGAATCAGGGTTCGTAAATATTCTTTTTTTTTTTTTTTTTTTGGTTCTTTAAATTACATATTGTGTGGCTTTGGAGGAAAAAAAAACCCTTTGAGAAACCTAAACTTTTGACTATAATGGACTTTAGATTTGTCTTTTAATGAATGTTTGTAGAGTTCTTTGAGATCAAAGACAAGGATATAGAAATATAATTCACTATTATTCATATTAATATGAATCAAGAAAAAGATCATACTATGTAGCTAGATCTGACAAGCTCAGATTCAAGCCATATAATATCATTCCTACTGCCCCCCGCAACTTAGAATTAGTTTGTAAATTTTGTAAGGAAGCATCTGTATAAAGGGCTGGATAAAAATGTCAAAAGCTGGAACTTTGTCAGGAGTGACTGTGGTGCAGTTTTGAACTGCTAGTTGGTACAATTTCAGATCTAATGCACTTAAAACTCAGTAAGTATTAAGATAAGATTTGCCCACTACTTTAGCTCAGGCCTTATACCAGGCCTCTAATACAAGGGCTCAGACTCTCCTCTCAGGCTGTCTTATTACCTGGGGTATGAGGAGAATCTGCTAAGGACATGCTAAAGGTGATTGGAGAGGTAGGAGAAGATAGTTGCCTTTGACAGCCTTTGACAACCATGTTGTCTCTTGAAATCTTGTTCTGCTTTGGCTTCTATGGCTCTAATAGGTCAAGGAGGATGGAGATGGAATACTGGTTCTGAGATATGGCTAGGAATGGAATATCACTGACTTAGATATGGGTGGTTTCAGTGGAGTGCAAAGGGTGGAAACTTTTTATGTTATTTGGGGTTAGAGTTTAGGAAGAAATAACTTGAAACACAGAGAGCTGCAGCAATTGCAAGTTTCCATTTTATTCCATAACACACAACTAGCTAGAACCATCCAAAACCAGCTGGACTAGCCCCTGCTGCCCTACCTCAGTTTCTATAACAGGAACAATCACTAGGACAACCCAATACACAACATATTTCCCCCGCCTCCATAAGAACATCTCCTTAATAAAACAAACACTAAACTAGGGATTGAGGGTAGACTGCCTCAGTTCCCTGGGGATTATTTTGCCTGTAACCATGGGTTAACCTTAACTAAAGTTCTGGCTGTTGAGGAGGCTGTCTTCCTCTAGGCGCATTACAGTGGGCATCTGGTGTTCTTGCACCTGAAGGTGTTATGGGTGGGGGGCCTGATAATAGGCTCGGGACTTGAATCATGAACAGTTGAGGCTGTCAGATGAGCCTGCTCAGGGAGAGAGCTTGTGTTCGCTACTGGTGGTGATGGAGGAGGAAAGTAAAAAACAAGTGACCCTTGTTCACCAGTAGTGGTGAGGTCAGGCAACTCTACTGGAGATGGGTCCTGAGGGCAGACATAACCTGGCAACAATTGATCTATATGATGTCACCAGGTGAGCTCCTCTGCAGACAGGTGTAGGAAACAGGTCCTCTTTGAGTGATGAAGATGTCAGGGACCCATTGAGCTCCAGAAGCATCGTTCTGAGCCAGTACCAGCTGTCCAGGTCTTAAGATTCCATCTTTTGCTCTGTATGTATGCCTGATGACTTGACCTTGCTGTTGACGTTGCACAACTTGTTATGGTTCAGAAGATTTCATCAGATCAAAGCAAGTGTGCAGCTGACATCCCATCATTAGAAAGGCTGGGGACGTTGTAGCTGTAGCATGAGGTATGTTTCTGTAGGATAGTAAGAGGGTGTCCAGACACTTTTGAATGAGTGAGTGAATGTCCTTGAGATGATTTCAAAACTTGTTTCATTGTCTGCACAAACCATTCCCCTAATCCATTTGTGGATGGGTGATATGGTGCTGAATTCCATTTGCTTTCATAAAATTTCCAAACTCCTGAGAGACGAATGCAGACACTTGTCATTCATAAGTTGTTCTGGCAGACCAAAACAACTAAAGATTCTGCACAATTTTTGGATAGAACTCTCAGCAGTAGTGGACAACATTATAGAGACTTTGGAATGGGTGTTTACCACCACCAAGAACATGCTTCCTTCAAGTGGGCCAGGAAAATGAATGTGAATATGGTCCCAAAGTTTTTCAGGACAGTTCCACGGGTGTAGCGGTGCCAATTGAGGTGTATTCCTCACACCCTGGCATGAAATATAAGCTCTTCTCTTTAATGACACAGTCCAAGCTAGGCCACCAATAATAGCTCTGTGCCATTTTTCATGTGCACCATTCCACAGTGAATGTAGGTGTTCTAACATCTGTGATCTCAGTAGTGTTGGAATAATGACACATTCCCCACAACAAGCACTGGAATGAGCCTCTGTGTCTCTCTGGAAGTCCATTCCGCAGAATGTTCCAACTCTGAAGCAGCATATTTTGATTGGAAAAATGTTTAGTTGAAAACATTCTAACCATCCCATATCACTACTACTCTGGCCTGGATTGGGACTGCTAACCTTAGGGCAAACTGCTCTAGAATCTTACCAGTTGCTTGAGCTATCTACTTCTACAGTCACTTAGTTTTCAATAGTTTTTCAGATGGAAACACTGCAATGGTAGGACAAAAGAAATCCTGAGAACATACAAAATTCTAAAAGGAGAAACAAGAAGGCAATGTTTCCAAGAACAGTACCAAAGTACCCTAGATTTATCTACATTTAGAGGAGAGGGTGTGCATAGACGTACTTGCGCTAGTTCAGTGATGGGCACCATAGGCTAGTGAGCAGGTTGCATGCATGGCCCTCTATCTCAGTGGGCCACAAGACTGTTGTAACAGAGGCAGTCTCCTGGGATAGTATAGTTTTGCTAACTGCGCTTGAATACCGACTGGTGCCAACTGAACCGTAGCAGCGCTTTGGACAGAGAGAGAGCACCCGGCTCTTACAGTCATTGCTGTGTGTATTCAGCATGTAACTCACTTTATATGGCCTTGTTTTAAGTGCATGTCACTTTAGAAACACTGATAGGAAAAAAAGATGCAGATGGAAACTAGCAGAATCTGGCAACCCTGCATGTGGGCAACAGTAAAGAAAATGTCTTGTGGGCCACATTCAGAACTCTGATGGGCTGCATGTGCCATCCTCAGCCGCAGGCTGCCTACCACTGCTTTCATTCCTACCTAGCTAGCACACTAAATATAGTAGTGGAGGTGCTGTATCCCAGGCAGTGCTGGTATGGACTAACTGCTCCAAGTCCAAAGCCTGGGGAACTTGTGTGTAGGTACTTGGGGTGGCTTGCTCATTCCATGCCACTGCTCATGCTATCATAGCTATGCTACTATGTTTAACATGCTAGCTAGATGAGACTGATTATGAGTATGTCTATAGGAACTAGGAATCCCATTTCTCTCTCTCTCCAAGAAGAGCCATAGTTGCAACACAAATCATTCTCCAATGCTAGGAAATCTTTTCTCTTTCTATAGGTATCTTGGTCTGGATTTTATTTTCCATTTCTTGCTTACTTGGTTTGAACAGAAGCATCTCTCTAATGGGGTGCACACAAAGAAAATGGCTAAGAATGTAATTTTGGCTTTTGTGACTTCCATTCACATTGGATTTTCATGCAGATGTTCTGCACAGCAGGGCAGGCAAGTTGGAGCAATGGGATTCTGGCTACAGAACATTACTAAAATGCAGCTGTGTGCTAGCATCTGGATAGTTTGGCCAAAAGCAGTTTGAATATGAGCATGTTGATTCTATTTTTAACCCTACTGGCAATGGAAATATCATGCAACATGTTTCTGGGCCACTAGCTATAATCTGTGCATGCAAAGGAGGGGCTCAGTGCTCAGCAGGACTGTATCTCTATGATCCATCTGTATGATCTTTTACTAGCCTCTCCCATGTGGATAGTGCAGATAGCAGGCCTGGGCAAAAATACTCTCCACGGGCCAGATTCGGCCCTTAAGCCAAAAGATCTGGCCTGTGGCCACAGTGGGAAGCCTCAGGCAGACTCCCTGCTTGCCTTGCATGCTTCCTCCCCACACACTGCGGCAGCCCTTTCTGCTGGCCGGGGAGGGGGAAATGATGCTTCACATGCTGCTCCCACCCCCGGTTTCTGGCTAATGGGATCTGCCAACTTGAAGAGTAGGCAGTATGTGAAGCATCCCTCTCCCCCCTCCCCTGCCAGCTCTCATTCACCAACACACATGGCCCCTGAAGCATGGGTCAGGGTGGGGCAGAACCCTGCTAGGCTGCTGGCCAGGAGTTATCCAGATAAGCCTCCCAGCCAGAGCCTGCCTCTGGTACCCCAGACCCTCTGCTGCCCCACTCCTGCCCCTCTACACCACATAAGCCAAACCCTCTGTCCCCCTCTTGCACTCCAATCCCCTGCCCTAGGTCACATCCCAAACCCCTGCACCACAGTCCCCTGTTCCAGGTCACAACTGCCTCCTTCACCCAAACCCTCCCAGACCCCCCACCCTCTTCTACATCCCAGACCCTGCACCTCCTCCATTAATATCATGGAAGCGTGTGACCCTCAACCACTTTCCAAAATCTTGGAGTGCCCCCCCATCAACAATTATTGCCCACCCCAGCATATAGACAGCTTGGAGTCACAGGGATGGGGAATGGAGTACAGCTAGAGCTTTTTTGCATCCTCTGTTAAGAGCCATGGATGACCAATACATACACTACTGCTCAATAACTGATAGTCATGTGCTAAAATGACTAAAATATTAAAGTGGAATTTCATGTGAAGAAGTTGGCACAGAAAATCAATTTCCCTCTGTGGGGTGGATCTAATGGCACGTAAAATAGGTTTCAGAGGGTCAGTGCATTTATCATACATCTTCTAGGTTTTCTCATCAATTCAACACTTGTGGCTCCTATGGCACGTTTAATGGAAACAGCAGTTGTTCTCAACACTTAAACCCTGCATGGGGCTGAACACTATAGACAGGGTTTTTGAAACGTTTGCTCCTGCTGACCCGAGAGCAGAATGTGGCCTTTAGGTATAAGACTGTCACAGATAATAAAGTTATTCATACAGTGACCCTGTGGCAACATGGTTTAATGCCACCTTTGGATAACTACTCATTTCCATGTCAGGTTGGAGGTTGTGGCTATAGAGATCCTGTGGTTAGATTCATAGCTGACTTAGTATATGCCCAGCGTGCTTCGGGTGGCCCATGACCAGGATTCATGACCAAATTTGGTCCACTGCTTGGATCATTCGCTTGCCTAGCCCACACTGAGTACTGTGTGGAGTGTGATATGAACACTAATCCATGCCTTTTGGTCCTATAGTAATGCTATGGCATAGCATCCTTTGCCTTTTTCTTTCTTCTCAGCTTTTTTCAGATGCACCTACCACTTTAATCCACTCATGTTTACACAGTTCATTATTTAGCTGGCTGCAAGTTCGGTGGGGAAGAGTAATGGTGACCTTAATAGGATTTGTGCTTTTACAGTAATGTGGTCCTTGTTATTGGATGCAATTGATGCTGCCTCACAGTTGTCTAAAGTCATTTGGTCTTTCTGATTAGCTTTGTTGTATTATCCATGAACCCAGTAATTGCCAATAATATAACTAAGGGTATGTCTAGACTACAGGGTTTTGTTGACAGAAGTTTTGTCGACAGATACTGTCAACAAAGCTTCTGTCGACAAAGAGCGTCTAGACTACATCCAGTTCTGTCGACAAAGCAAGCCACTTTGTCGACATAACAGTGTGGACGCAAAGGACAGTGTAGATGCAATAATGCCTTCTATCGACAGAACTCTGTCAACAAAAGGTGTTATTCCTTGTAGAATGAGGTTTACATACGTCGACAAAACTGCTGAGTTTTGTCTACATTATGTCGACATAACTCAAAGGCAGTGTGGACGCAGGTATAGTTTTGTCGACAAAAGTGGACTTTTGTCGACAAAACCCTGTAGTCTAGACACACCCTACCTCTCCTAGACTGGTCATGGCCATAGTGATGTCTGTCTATAGGAACCTGTGTACAATCTGAGTCAGCTTCAGGGATGGGTGGAGTTATAAATAGGACAAAGGAGGGAGCCAAGATGCTGCCTCTTCCTTGTCTCACCCAGACACCTGCTCTAGGGGAGTGCCTGCTCTTCCCCCATATTACTGGATTCAAGGTATGGGCAGCCTGCGGGTTTGGTTCTCTTGGTGGGTGTATGGACTAAGAAAGATACGGTCTAGCCCTTTGAATAATACAAACATGGGAAATGCAAAATGAACATGTCCACTTTATCCTGCCCCTACTAGGGTTGGAAAAGGTTACCCAGTAAACATTTGGCTTACTGGAATGTTTACTGGGTAACTGGTTAACTGGACCAGTCTAGATGGATGGTGAGCCATTGCTGGTCAGCCTTGGGGCCCTTATTCATGGCAGGGGAGGCTGGAGCAGCTGCAGGCTGGCCATCAGGCCCCTGTCTGCCGTGGTCTGGCCTAGAGCAGGCCCCGTCTTCTGCAAGCCATCAGGGCTCCTGCCCCACAGAGGCAGTGGGACCCCAGCTGTGGCTGCTCTGTGCCACCCTAACAACGTTTAACCAGTTAAACAATATCATTTTAATTGTTTAACCTCACAGTAACTGGATGGATTCCCTAGGAAAAAATCCATTCCTATAAACTAGATGTATCTAGGGTCACAGAAAGGGAAACCTCTTCATCCTCTTGCACCAATATTTGGATTTCAGGTAGTTTTGGCTAAAGGGACACCTTTACTGAGAGCTGTGGAGAAGGAGACAGATTCACA